CATATTCTTTGATGAGGTCTGCTGTGTTAGGCACTACATTTACACTATCACATTTAGTCCTCACAACAACACTGTGAGACACATATTCTTACTCTTATTTTATAGACAATGAAACAGCCTGAAAAGTATAGACTTTCACCTGTGTTGAGATAAATGTTACTTTTATTTATTGCTTAGAAAAGTAAACCAGAATTCCCTATCCCTTAAGTATTCTTTCTGTTGGTGGCATTGTGCATCTACTCATTTTACATCTACTTATCCACTCCTGTGTAAAATTGTATGAGAAAAGTCCTCCATAAATAATTTTGGAGAACATCAAACAATGGTGAACACCCTCAAGATTTAGAAATGCAATTGGAATCTGTCTCATCTGAGAATAGCCATTCACTACTAGTCAGTCAGTTTTCAATGTGTTTGTATAGCAGGTGCTTTAGGACTTTGACATGTCTAACAGTAATTATCCACTAGTGCCTCAACATGCATATGTAACTCCACGGCACCTGCCTGGCCTTTCCCTTTCCTTCCCTGGAAGACACTGTCAGGCCTGGGACCACAGTTCTCTTCATGCAGTGTTCCACAGCCCTACCTCTCACTGGCCCCGTGCGTCTGCAGCAACAGGTGCTTCACCAGGATAACTCCTGATTGAGGCTACAAGCCTCAGATGGGACGCCTTTTCCTGACAGAAACTTTCCTGGATTTCCTAATCCCTGTGCGTGCCCTGTGTCCTCATACCTCCCTCAGGGGTCCTCCTTGATGCTTGCCTGTGCACTGTCTCCCTCACCCTAAGGATTGAGTCCCTGGGGGCTGGAAGAGTGTGCCATTCGCCACTCTCTCCCCAGCATCTGGCCAGGGTAGGCACTCTGCCAGTAAGGGCTGAAGTTACAAGGGAACACACATTGCTTCTGGGCCTCAGAGAAGCCCTGGAGGCTGTGGGACTTTCCCAGGGCCACCACACCATTGTCAATTTCATATACAGAAACTAAGTCTTCTAACCCTGGTCTCTTTCCCAGGCATAATACTTTTACATAAAATCTTTTCAACTTTTTCCCCATCCAACCTAAATTAACGTAGTTTCTTTAACTTTTCTATCTTAGGGCTTTTTTTTTTCATAACCTTTTCAGTGATTGCTGATGTTTTTTTTTACAACTTTTCAGGTTTTTCTATTTCACATGCCCTGTTTTAGCACGGCATTAAGAGGGACACAGGACAGAGAAGACCAATATTTTTTAGTGTTTTAGACTTTATCACGCTGCTTATTCAGTTCTGTTTAGTCAGTATCTCCAAGTCTTTGATACTGCCTTAGCCTCTGCATTCCAGGGCTTCTCTGTGTGGAATATATCTACGGAGACAAAGGGACAGGACTATGTACTCACTCTGTTTTACAGAGGTCTTTTCCAGGAGTGTGATTTGCGGGGTGGGGTTTGTGCTCTGAAGAATATGGGGAAGGCTGTTATTGTCATGATAGCCAGAAACATGGCTGACTTCTCACAGATGTGGCTTCGCAGGGCCATTGCACATGATTGCTGAGTAAGTCCTCTCATAGTCTAGTTTCTGCTCGCAGGAGTGATTCTTCACTCCCCACAGTTGACCTGTTGTAGTATCTTCTTATCTGCATTTGATTTTCAGTCCTTCTACTTAGTTTCTTCTCAGGCAATGCTTAATTCCTTCCCATTTGCTCTTTTACTTTATGAGAAGACTGTGCCAAGTTCAAGTTCAGCATCTTCAGAATGCTCCATCATGAAGTCCGAGCTGCCTTGAATAACTGATGACCTATTATTTGAGCAGTGACCTGTTAGGAGTGCTCAGCTGGATCAAATGAAAAGCCTTCTGGTTTATTAAGTTTTTGTCTCTGGGTTGAAGTAGGACCTTAGTGAAATTTTATGTATTTATTCTCCACAAATTTAGATTAATCTTTGTCTGTTCGTTTTTAAGTTTTTTGCCTATTCCCAGCAGGTATGGAGGGCATGGTGATGTGTCTGTAGATTTGAGGAAAATCCAGTTTTTGTTTCAAAGCTCATACCCCACAGGTTCTAGTCCCATTTTTAGGTACTTTATCAAACCCTCATATGTTTCAAAAGTAGTCACTTGCAGCCCTGATGAAACCAGTCAGTATATACCTTGATTTTAAGGCAGTCCAGCCTGCAGTGTGCCGCCCTCCTAATTTAATGGTGGGATCTTTAGATTCTCTAGATTCTCTAGATTCTTTAGATCTCTAGATTCTCCCCTCAGGGTGGCTTCCTGCCTTTCTACTTGGGGCTGTACACCCTGATGGTAAGATCATAGTGGATTTATCTTTAAAGGTCAGCAGTGAAAATAAGTATAGTATTAAGAATATCTATCCTTTAGTATCATTTAATTTAAAAGTTCCTCTCCTTTTCTAATTAAGGGCTACTATTTTCCTTTTGCAATTTTGTTCCTAAATGCTTTTCAGAAATAGCCCTACTTGCACCCTGTGATGCCCTGAGCCTGGTTTGGGGCCAGGATGACTGGTGTTCAGGTCTCTGCCCAGCCTCCAGCTGTGAAATAGATGAATAACAATATTCATCTCATGGAGTTGAAGTGAGAATTAAATTCTCTAATATGTTAAGTGCTTTGTTATAAACTTTAAATGCAAGTACTTTGTTGAAATTTATGCCCAGAGTTGCCAAATGCCACGTCTTCATGATTTTAGCCAGAATATCCAGGAAGACTGTAAGATTAATGGGTTGTTAGATGAGCACCCCCCACTCTCTAAATGTTTGTTTCTGCTTCTCTTGTTCTCTATTTGTGTCTCCATTTCTTTCCCAACTGTAGGAGCTTTCAATAACTGCATGTAATAGACAAGTATGTTTTAATTATTAATTACTGTTGTGATATAATCTTAATTAAATAAAACAAATGGCTAGGATTTTTTATGTCTTTAAATTTTTTTCCACTTATCAATTAGCTCTTGAGTCTTTTGCCACCAGTGGATCAGTGATTTTCAGGAGACTGTCTTTCCCCTCCATGGCTTTATGTTTTTATTGCTGGGGAGTTAACAGCAGGGCTACTAAAGCACTTCCAGTTCAAGAAAATCTTTTCTTCTTTCTTTAACAAATAAGTTTCATTGACTTCTATGCTCACTTTGTCCCCAGAAACTTACTTAAAGTATATGGTGCAGATGTGACTATAAAATAATAAAGTTAGTACTCTGTTATGGTGACTTGAAAAAAGAATCATGGTGGATGTGGATCATTCATAGTGTGAGGAGGGGCATTTTGATCATTTTGGGCACCTCAGAATCAGACTGTAATTTACAATCTCTTGGTTTGTTAGATTTTTTTTTTCCTTTTTTAAAAATCTGCCTCCATCCACTGACTTGGGTGAGAAATGACAAATCACTTTGGTTCTGGTTTTCCAATGGCCAAGCAAAGCCATCCTCCGCTCAGCTGAGTCTCCTCTTGCCTCTGGCCTGGGCTTGACTGCTCCCTGGAGAAGGCCAGCGAGGCCAGTCATGACTACTGACTGAGCACAGTGTGTGAGTCCAGACTCCTGTGGACTTACAGATGACGGACCGTAAGTCAAACTGATTCACTTAAGGGTGGGTGTGAGGGGAGGAGAGCCCACTGAGAGGATGTCTGGTAGCCACGAAGGATGACATCAGTGGACCCTTCCACACCCGGATCTTTGTGAAGCGTCGGTCCATACATAGCTCAGGCCCCTTCCTTCAATGTGGCAGTTGCTTGGAAAGGCTGTGCTCTTTCTTTAGTGCTTCAAAACAAGCCCCTTCCTCTGCTCACATGGCACGTCCGTCCCACCTCCTGCTGGTGCTTCTCCTGGACACCTTCCCTGACCCCCAGCCCAAGGAGCATCCCTTTTATATGCTTTCCTAAAATCCTATGCACAAGACTTGTCTATGCACATCAGACTTTATGGTGATTGGTTGTTTACTTGCCTGCTTCCCAGCTAGACTGTGGCCTTTTAGAGGGTGAGAATTGTGTTTGATTAATGCTTCTATTCTTTGTCCATGATCTCATTCATAAACAGAGAGAAGTATTTGTTGAATGAGTGAACGTGGGATCTCATTCATCATCTCTGTTCATGTTGGTGACTTTGCTTTCTGGGCTGCACACAGGATAAATGCCAAAGCTTTTTCCCCAATGTTGTCAAAGTCCTCTGTCACATGTCCTTCATTCTAAAACTAGACTGAATGTGGTCCCCTTCCACAAACAAATTCAATAAAGAAATGTGAATATGTGTGCAAAAAGCCCTTTGGGACAGTTGTTATTTGGGTAATAAAGTTTTGTGCAGTATCTAGTTGTAAGTGATAAAGACTTAAAATATGTTTATAAAATGTGTAAGTGAACCTTACTTATTGGGCAACCAGATCAACTATATAGTTGATATGAGCAGAGTGGCAGGAGCTGGTCAGGAAAGTGCAGACAGCACATTCATTTTTAGTGGTTTATTTTTCATCTTTTTTTTTTTTCATTGAATCCAATTGTTTGATGAGAAGTCAATTGACCTTTTAAGCTGAAAAGACTTTTACTAATATATGCTAACTTTTGTCTGTTTGTCCTTCCTTCTAGAGAATAACCATAGTATTACTTTAGTAACTGTTTAGTTACCTTTCATTTGTTCTAAGGTTGAAATATTGCTTATTGTTTCACCAAGGACTCTGATGTTTGGGTACCATATAACATATAAGGGCATTTTCTCTTTCTGACTGACAGCTTAGTAACCAGCTTTGATTAGATTCCTCAGTGGTTACAAGTCCATGAAAACCATTCACAACAGTAGTTTTGGGAGGCAGAAACTAGAAAGCTGTTGTATTATCTTGTATGTAGCTTTTTCCTTTTAGGATATATAACTTGATATCTAGTATCCTGAGCTTCTGTAATGTTATACCATTTTAATGGTTCTAAGGACTCTTAGAAACAAATGATTTTACCAGAAAGAAAAAAATGGAACAGTCATTTTTACTGGCATACTCATGCATTTCTTATTCTCCCTTTTTCTCTCTCTCTCTTTTTTTCTTCCAGTGAGCATGTTTTTGAACACATTAACACCGAAGTTCTACGTGGCCCTGACAGGCACATCCTCACTAATATCAGGGCTTATTTTGGTAAGTGATGGAATCCTCTCTATTTAAAAACATGCTGATTACTGACATATATGCTAGTATATGTACAGGAAAAAGTTCTGGAAGAATATACACAGCAGCTTACAGAGATTATTTTGCATGTGTGCATATGTTGGGTAGTTAGACTTACAGAGGCCCTTCACAACCCAGTTTACATGTTTCTAAAATATTTGAAAAAAATCTTTTTAATAATCACATACTACTTTTGTTAAAGGGGAAAACCAAAATGTAAATAAAATGGAAAATAAAAGAAGACACAATTCAGTGTCAAATTATAGTTTCTAAGACACTATAAAATATGTGTGACTCAGTTCAACTAAAAATGTTTCTCATCACTCTTTTCAAATTAGATATAATCAAAATTAGTAGAAATAGAGCTCAGTTTCTTTAAATGTATTGACATGATTGTAATAATTTTAAGCATATCCCCCCTTCATATTTTTTCTCAAAATTTACATTTCCTTATTTCTTCCTTTAAAAAATACCAAGTAGGCAAAAGCAACGTAATAATCATCCCTATGGCTCCATTACCTTGTGCTCTAAATAGTTATAGAAATGATAAATTATACACCTGAAATAGTTTTTTTTTAATTTAAGTGATCTTAAATAGAGCCATCTATGCTCAGTAGAATCATGCTAATATATTAAGTGACCTTTAAGGAGAAAGAGATTTTAGAAAGCTTTTTTTCTTTTTTCTCCATATCACATAAAGCTGTGATTACTAATTTTTATAGAGACAGGGACAAAAAAGGTATTAAATAGTCAATGTTAAGTGATCAGTAAAAACACAAAACTTTTAAGGGAAAAGGGCACAGAAATGTGGAGCAAGAGCATAGAAGCACCTGCAAACATGGAGGATTTCAGAAGCATGAGTTTATAAGGAGCCAGAGTAAAAAGGCAGAGAAATATGTACAGGGCAGAAACCTGCGAACAGCTCAAAGGGATGCTGGTGGTGTGCAGAGCACATTTTTGTGGTCAGAGCACATCAGGTTAATTTTGCTCTGTTGTATCACATGGCCTGCTGGACTCAAGGGAAGGAGATGTTTGAAGTTGGTATTACTGGACACAAATGTGAAGAACATCACCCAACATAACCATGTAATTGGAAATCCACATAGAAAGCCCAGTGCTGGCTGCGACACAAAGCCAAGGTGAGGGGAAGCATATTAAAGCTTCTCCTTAAAATGGCTTGAAGTGAGGTGTATGTAAGTGATTTGTACCCCATTGCCTCTTAAATGCAGAAGTGCATACTTCAGCTGTGTCTCTGAAGTCTTCCCTGTTTTGTAAAGACATGAAAAAAGTAAAGATGCTATAGAGAGTCATTCATACAGCCCTAAGGTAATTTGCCTAAGTTCATGCTGTTGGTTTGTGGCAAAGCCAGTCTAGCACCTATGTCTTCAGGTTCCTACCTTAATATTCTTAAAGCACTGAAGAAACAGAGCTTTGGAAATGATTTCACATATTGGATAAATTACTGAGAAGTATACTGAAAACAAGGTACTCTTTTAGTAAATCTATTTTTGTGGGGGAGGACGAGGAAGTATAAGTCTCCATCTAATAATTGTTATTTACATTAAAAAAATTTTTTATTAAGGTATTATTAATATATACTCTTATGAATGTTTCACATGAAAAAACAATGTGGTTACTACATTTACCCATATTATCAAGTCCCCACCCACACCCCAATGCAGTCACTGTCCATCAGTGTAGTAAGATGCCACAGATCCACTATGTGCCTTCTCTGTGCTACACTGTTCCCCCCGTGATCCCCCACACCATGTGTACTAAACATAGTACCCCTCAGTCCCCTTCTCCCTCCCTCCCCACCCACCCTCCCACACCTCTCCCCTTTAGTAACCACTAGTCCTTTCTTGGAGTCTGTGAGTCAGCTGCTGTTTTGTTCCTTCAATTTTGCTTCGTTGTTATACTCCACAAATGAGGGAAATCATTTGACACTTGTCTTTCTCTGCCTGGCTTATTTCACTGAGCGTAATATCCTGTAGCTCCATCCATGTTGTTGCAAATGGTAGGATTTGTTTCTTATGGCTGAATAGTATTCCATTGTGTATATATACCACATCTTTATCCATTCATCTACTGATGGTCACTTAGGTTGCTTCATTTACATTTAGAATAATATTTTAATATTTTATTTCTAAAATATCTTTGAAGTATTTTTTGATTGAACAAATAGGAAAAAAGTGAACTCTTTTTTATACAATTTCAATAGCAATTTTATACTGAAATCCGTAATTCACTCTGATGCAGAAAAATAGAATTTTGCACATTCCTCTCCCAGGGATGTTCACATAAAATATCCACCTCCATGGTGCCTTCTGAGTGCCAGGGACTGATCTAAGCATTTTCCATGCTAACTCATTTACTTGTCACAGCAATACCATGATGTTTGCTAGTGTTATTTCCATTTTACTTAGCATAAGCTGATGGGTAGAACAGACAAGTCAAGAACCTGCCACAGGTCACCTTGCTGGCAAATTGTAAAGCAGGATTGCAAGCCAGGCAGCCCTGGCTTCTGTCACTCATTTTACTGCCTCTCTGGTTAGGTTCTCAGCTGTTTTTCTAGCTTTCTGAACAGATGGCAGGTCCGAATTTTATTCTGGCAGTACCTTGGTATGGGTTCACTAGGCTATAAGCCAATTACGAGCATGTGGGTTATTTCCTTTCACTGTGGCAAGGGAGGCCGAACAGTCATTTTAACTTCTGTCTCAGGGATGGTGGATGGTGAAGTCCCCTCAGCTTGCTTTTCTTGTCCTCCAAATCAAGAGTTTTCCCTGGATCATGAGCACCTTCGTAGATCCAGGCCTGCTTTAGAGATTGTTCATATTGATGTTGTCCAGCCTCTGGGAACTTAGCTTTGCCAGGCCTTGAAATGTACCCAGGGCTGAGGTTTCTAATCAGCTGCTCTTCTTTTCTGTAAGATGGCTTTCATGGAGAGCCAGTATTGAGGTAAAGGATCAGGTGCTTTGCAAATAGCTGTGTGCATTGAACTGCTGAGCAGTTCGTTTCCTGGTACCACAGAGACAATTACCTAACTATTCTCCCCTGAGCAATGTTAGGGGAGCCAGGCGGCAAATACTGAAAGTACAAGGTTGCCTCTGAGGAAATTGGTTCTTTGGGGACCTAAAGATTCTTATGCTAGAGACTGAAATTATCGTGCAATGTGACGTCTTAGAGGAGAAGTAAGCAAAAACAAAAACAATGGTATTTCCCTTGTGAAGAAAAAGTCAGTTAGCTGAACAAATACACATGGAAATAAAATATGTTTGTCAAATGCTGCTTTCTTTTACACTAATGTAAAAGATAAATGGGGACCAATCAGTGTGTATTTTACTAGATACCACTGCAAGATCTTAATTTCTCAAGTTGAAACCAGCAATGAGTTTGTGACACCACCTGCCTCTCACTCTTCTCTTTAGGTTCCTGTGTCCACATACAACCCAGGCAGCGCCCTCCCTTGCTTAACGTCAAGCTGCCCTCTGCTCACTTGACACAAGCCTTCTCATCTCAGTCCACAGGGGCTGCACCTGTTGGCACAGTCCAAAGCCACCTATTTAGTCTTTTATCTACTCTAACAAGGACATGCCAATCTGCTTGAAGCAGCCTCTGTGGGCAATATTTATCTCAATAGAGAAAATTTCTGGGTTTTGTTTTTGCTTTGGGGAGTGGTAAGGTGGATATGTGGAGAAAACGCTCCCCTTAATTTTCCCAAAATGTTGATAGAATGGAGAAAATGTATTGACATTTATTCGTAGATTCCTGTATCCTCATTAACATGTATATAGACATGATCCTACAGCTGTATTTTATATATATATGAAATAGATATAAGAAAAGGCATCCAGGGCATAATTGTAAAAAGTTAGAGTCAGAAACAAAAAAAAGAAGGAAATTAGAATAGTAAATAAAAGACTTAGTTCATGGATTAGATGTTAAAAATTTGTATGTTTGAGAAAATGGAGAAAGAGATGACATTAGGTAAAAATCAGTTGTAATAAAAAGCCCATTTAAAGAATCCCCACTCCGTGTGTTAGGTACTGTATTAGGCACTTTGCATATATTATTTCACTTAATTCTCATTGAAATTCTAAGTGGTAGATACAGCTGGTGGCTTTATGCTGCTGAATATGTACAGACATAAAGGTTAAATAATTTGGCCAAGGTTATATAACAGACAGATGGTGAGATTTGAATCCAGATCTTTCTATGTCCTCTATCCCCTCCTGTTCAAAAGTTAGGGGGTGGGACTGGACTATCGTCTTGGCTTTTTAAATTGTTTTTCATCCATCTGAAGAACTTTCTCTGCACTTGACATAGCACTTTAATTGATAGGCATATAGATCATGCAAAGGATGGTGATTCTGGAGCTAAGAGTAAAAAAGTAAATAAGTAAAACCCAGGGAAACTTGATTGGAAGAGCTCTTCGGGTATGGAAGCTGCATATAAATGTCAGGATATGTCAGTTATAAAACAGCTTGTCTTTTGTCTCTAGAATAAAGAATAGTAGAGATGCTGTAGGAGGCAGATGTCAGAGGGCCTGCAGACAAGGGGGGGAAGCTGAGGTTTCAGCTTTACTGGATTGCAGCTTCTAGGGGTCTCCAGAGAGGAGATAGATGCCTGTGAGTGCCTGACTATGGACATGAGTACTGAGTGGGTCCGATTGATGTTAGACATCGCACAGGTGAAGAAGGTGAACAAGCTAATGGTGGACAAAGAGACAAAACCATCCTTGTGGTTCTTTCAGAGTACATTTGAGCACAAATTGAGAGGCTTGAAAATCATGCAATTGATTGATCAAGGGCTGGGGAAGAAAACCTCAGAAGCTATCCAATTTAAACCAGTAAAAATCCTAGGACTAGTTAGCCAGAAGGCTAACAACTTGCCCAGGTCACCTCGCAGGGTAACGGTGGCATGAGTACTAGAATTTGAACATCCGCTGCTTTGCCGCAGCACCATCCTGC